GCCATTTCAGTGCGCTTGCTACGTTCGGCTGCACCAATACTTATCATTAGTTATGATAGTAGTCAAGTACTGGTTTATAACAGATTAATTAACAAGAACGATAGCATTGTTTTCACACAAAGGTCAAATTTTGACTACAGGCGAATTGAGTGAATATTATTTTGTAAACAGTTTAAAGTCATAAAAAGTCGAATAGCGAGCGTTAACGAAACAGTTACTAAAAGGAGGAAATCATTGAAAAATTTTTCTTTAGCGTTTCCTTGGGTTCTATAAACTTGGGTTCTATAAATGTTATTTGGAACCATTTGTATGTTTTCGACAAAACGTTAAAAACCAAACAAATTTTGTTAACTGAAAGCGTTCATCTAATTAAGAGGACTGTAAACTGACTATTATTATTTTTTGTGCAGAATTTAGGAGTTATTTTAAACGCTTTTAAGAGTTTTTATTGAAGGCTTGGTAATGCAGAAGTCCGTAGAGAATCCCGTATGAAACAAGGTGTTTGTATGGTCTTAATATTGTCGTTTCGACATGTGCAATTTATGTATGCAAAACGCCTTTGTGATAAAAAAAATTAACTAAATGGTGTATATTTAAATATAAAAAATGTGTGTAAATATAAATATAAAAAAAAAACAACTAAACGCATGCATATACTCACTATACTCGCGATGTGTAAGAAGTGCACCAGGGCACGGCATTGATTGCTTGAATAAGTGAAATAAAACGACGTGCAGTTGTGAACAGAACAAGGTTATTAGCTCTTACCGGTATCTTGGATATTAATAATTTGAATTGGTCATAGTGTATAGGAAATTACACATAGACAGCACTTTTGTAATAATATATACATTTATTTGACGATCGCGTAGCTTAGTGGTAAGAGTACCCAACATTGATTTCGCGGTTTTTGGTACTCGTACTAATTCCAGTCGGAGTAAACATTTGCACAGAAACAAAAATTTGGGTTTTAGTCTATGCTTGTGTTGTAATTGTGCTCGTGTTTCTTTCTATCAAAATTTCCGTAACATAACTTCCTATATTCCTACACACTGCTGTTACGGTTGTCAAAGTGCTTAACAAGTACTTTAAAGTATCTACTGATATATAGAGCTGTGCGTCCCAGGCGGTGTTGTATCCGTGGAGACGTCATTTCATCTACGCCAGCATTGTTGCGTAGGCAACAACAAGGAAAGGGCGCGTACCCAGGTGGCGGATAAGGAAACTCCATTTAGATATGAGTGTCAGCGGATACCGTCGCGGATCAAGACTGGCTAGGTCTTAGGGATACCGTCAGTTTTCAGTGTAACTGAGAAACGGCCCCGGCAATATTGCTACGAGAAGTGGGAGTTGAGGTTTGATGTTGCTGCTCTTTATCTTCTCAATTGAGAAGAACAGCGGACGTGACACGTGTGGTAAAGTTTCAAGCGCACCCGGTCTTTGAACAACCCCGTAATCCCAGTTGGAACATGAGGCTCTATTGGGCCACAAGGAAGAAAACCTCTTTATATCACCTCAAACCTATGGTCTTGCGTGCCCATGGGTGAATGGCTGGGGAACGCTCAGTTGTATCACTCCATTCAAGCGTAGCACACCGTGAGGAGCTGCATGGCTGATTTGTAAATGTCAGTCGCAAGTGTTGCCCCCGTCGGGGTACCGACCGACATCTTCGACGAGTTACGTAAGACTTATCCGAGTAATGGAAACGCTGCTGGAATGGTCTCTTATTTCTTTCACACTTATGGGATCAAATGAGAAAAAAGAAAAACCTCAAAAGTATGAAGCGTAAAATCAATCTGCGTGCAAATTAGATGTCAGACTGAGAAGAAAGTGGTAGATAGTAGATACCGCGGAGACTTAATAGCATCAACCGTGAATTAAAAAAGGAGCCGTGTCAGAACGATGCATTTACAGCAGTGGCATGTTTGAGTCGGTCCTGGTGAGTCGGATCTTCTCTCAAAACCTTTTCTTCCTAAGCATTCGGTGTGAATTCTACTTCTATGAATTCGTTATGATCCTGAAGGTGGCTGCCAAGCGGTTTCGCGAGAGAACAGATCCCATTCGGAGACGATGTCACCAAGGTGTTCGTCACGGCTCTACCCTTTACGCTGGTGATCCCTTACCAGAAGCAAGACCTCTGGTGGAGTAAGGACTGCCCCCGGGACATGCTTTAATAAAACACAGCGAGAGAGGGGCCCCGGGTGCGTTCCGAACGGAGACCCCGGGACTCCTCATATACGGTGGTTGTCACAGCGGGGTTTTAGCCGGTAGGAGTCTGGCATAACCTTTCTATGGCCCTCGCAGCCGTAGGTATCCGCGAAGATTTCCCCACGATAAAAAGGGGAGCAATACTTTTAGCTAAACAAATGGTATCGTTAATCCGTGCACATGCTAGTCACAGGAGTACAAAGCAGTTATCCAAATCTACGTCTACCAAACGCATTTTACTACGGCAACCACGCGCATTGCTACATGGAGTATTCGAACTATGAGAACATAACGAAGAGCTTAAAAGCTTTATTATTTTGGGCGTAATTTGAAAATACACTACATCGCTGTTCAATTAAAATAGAAATACGAAGATAATATTGTCTATACGTATAAGGTGTAATTTTTTGTACGGTAAAATATGCGTACTAAGCAAGCAATTCAGGTTAATTGCAAAAGTTTAAGTTCTAATTTACCGCGTGCTTGAAGGTGTAGGAAAATAAAAGTATTTTAAAGACGTGTATTTCTCCCACACGCATTGGAGGAGCAGAATGGCGGGCTCTTCACTTCACATCCCTCTAAGAAAGGAAGGAGGCCTGTAACCAGCTGTGGGTAGTATAGGCAATTTTTTAGAAAAATGGATTTGCAATTATAAAAATAAGAAAAGGGAAATAATGAAATTGTTACAATTACTTCAATGTATAAAAACGTAGAGTTTCTAGATTAAAAGTTTTAATGAAAATCTACGACTGAAATAAAAATCCATCACCCCCTTTCGTCCCGTAGGTGTCGTTAGAGACTACTATGAGAATTGCCACAAAAATCTTATAGCTTCCTTTACACTATACGACGATATAAACATCTCGCTTCCGCCAGATGTAAAATCCTCTGGTAGTAAGATCGTTTATCCACTATTCAAGCGTGACGTTAGAAGAAAATTCTCCCTGTAGTGGAAGAGTTCATATCCAGCAGTGGACTTTTACGAGCTGGCTTATTCTGCAATTATGCCAAATTTTAGCCAATAGAAATAGTCACTAACCATTGATAGTAATATTTATATGGAGACCGACAGATCAAATTCTTAAAAATGGTTCTATTTGGACATTTTTGGTCTGAAATTTTAAAAAAACAATATAAATATATACAGAAAAAATTTACTATCATTTTTAAAGTACTTATAATTTTGTTCCTTATTGAAATCTTATATTGTGATAAAAGGATGGTTCGAGTAAAACATCAGTTTCCAATTGTCAAGGGCATAGCGGTTATACATTGTTAAATTTATAGATTAATAACGGAAGGAGAGTCATGGTAATTCAGGGGATAATGGTACGTTACGTACGTTTTATACGTGGTAGAGCCATGCTACAGCTATATTAATAGTATAGTTGTAGCACGAATGGGTCGGCTCGACCGGGGAAGGACCAAGCTCTCACAGAATATCATCGTAAAATAGCAGCTTAATGCTACTGTGTTTCGTATGGTGAGTGTAGACAACCGGAGACCCTTTTTACTGGAAAAGAGGCATTCCATCTCAGTCCTCACGGGTGACAACGCATCTGCATTTTGAGTTGTATTTGAGGATAGATGTAGATGTCTATGGGTCACAGCAACCACTTACCATCAGGTGGACTGTGTGCTCGTTTGTCATCCTTTTTCTATAAAAAAATGCTCTCATAGTAAGTGAACAACTTAAATTCGATCCACGCCGGGACCAATGAAATAGTCAAAACAATTTTTAAATTCCTAAACTCCAGAACCGTGATTTTACAGACAGATTTTAGGCACGATTCTGGAGGAAAATGTTGTAATGAAACCTAATTTTTTAAAATTAAAATGATTAAATTCAAATGCTTCTAACAATATGCAGTTGAGCAGCGCTATGTACTCTTCCCTGCCTCTATTAGCAATATGAAGATGCCTGTACCTACCAGTGGGACTTACATATGCATGTATATGCTATTTTTTTATTGAAGGAGAACATCTCACTTTTTTCTTTTACTTGTAGGCGTTATAAGAATGAAAAACGTACAACTTAAACACTTCGGCGTGCATTCTAGCTCTACTTCTACAAATGTTTTTCCGTGAAAAAATTTATATGAAACACATAATAAAGCTAAAATTAGTATATGTATGTTAGTCAGCTTATAAGTAATGTTAATATTAGCAGCAATAAGTATGATGTCACATCTAAAGTAAAGAACAACATAACCTTCTTTTTCCATCCCTGTATTTATTCGACTAAACTAATAAATAACATTGTGTTGAAAGAGCCACAAACATTTTTCCTAAGGTTTGTATATTATAACATGAATTCAGAAAACTTATTTATTATACTCGATGTGTATATAGGCCTACTGCCCAGCTCGTATAAATATTGTATGAATTAAAGATGTCGTAGTACAATGTACAGAATATGTCCTGTTAAAATTTTATTATACTCGACATATACATTTCTTTTACGATTTTATTTCGAACAGCTTAAGTTTTCTCATGTATTTAACATTAAAAACCAGATGTACTACATTTCAACTTACGTAACACATGATGAACCAAAATTTAAATATGTATATATATATATATATATATATATATATACATATATATATATATATATATATATATATATATATATATATATATATATATATATATATATACCTCTTAAATTAAGGCTGTATAACGTACGTAACCCTTAAATGTGGTTTAATTTGTCACTTTTACACATAAATTAATAAACGACACATTCGATTTGATCAAATTAAGAGAAATCTAAAAACGTTTTAAGCTACCTATATGATGCACGTACTTCTGCACTGAGCTAGGAAAGTGAAAGTAGGACGTGGTACTCGGGAGCGGGCGGGTGTACCGTTGCGATCGCGGACTGCCACTGTTCGCCGCCGGTTTGCCGGCGCATACGCATACGCCAAAATTAAATTTATACATTTTATCATTCATTTATTACTAAAATATGTTTATATGAATTGTAAAAAATCAACTCCTCAACTTGTCGGTTTGATGTCGGACTAAAATGTTTTTTGGCAAAACACACAGACGCTTATTTAGTATCTGTCGCATATTACAATTTATTTCATCAAATGACAAAACTGTGCTTGAGGCAATGTTTGTTGACAATTCTTAGGTAAAACTTTGTGGGGTAATATAGTTAAATAATGACTTCATGTACATATTATTAAAAATTTAGCTATTGTAAAATTTAATTAAAAGCGTATTTTCTTATTACGTTAAGGTCTACCTAATATGGGGGATATATGTCACAGTTGCCACGCTTGGCAACGCAGTTTTGAATTTTAGTCGTTATTAGGAAGACGCTGCTGCCCATCCTGATTTGTTTCTCTCTTCCACCTCTTACGCACCCACGGAATGATAATGGGTAGTGGATAAATTCTTACACTGCCAATACACGGTCATCTCGAACCAGTCAAGTGGTTCTATTCTAGCGCGGATCAACGATTTAATGTACTTAAAATAATAGTTTCGGATCTGCGTAAAATAGTCTATTTACAATTTATGGACGTATTACGCCTCCGCGTTTCAAGGGTGCTTTTCAAGAGTTAAATATTTTGATCATTATAGTCATACATGATTTATAACATAACATACATACAAGATATAATTTGGGAACCCAAAATTGATCTGACTTTTAGTTTAGAAAAAAAAATACATGTACTACTATGGTGGCGCTAGCTACTTACTTCTTACCTATAGGAAGTAGCTAGCGGAATTATGAAATGTATAAAAAATGTAAATAATATTATGTTTTATTATAATTCAGTAGCTAGAACTTATTGCAAGTATCCAATAGGTAATTTTTATTTTTATTTTAAATAAAAATGCAAAATTATAAACGAATCAACTATTAACCACATAATTCCTCATTACATTTCTGGAGTTTTGAAATTGCTAGCATTGCCGCGTTTACGTCTATGACTACAAACCTATAGTGACAGACGTGGCACAGATCGGCCTCGTTGGTACGTTATCCCCGGAAGCTAAAGGTCGCTGCATACGTAACGTGTTTTATTCAGGACGGAGCGGGACGTCAAATTTTGGAAATATCGTTCCATAGAAAATGTACGTGAAAATGCATACGTTACGTATGCGTGGACGGGACGGGGACGTGGCATGAACGGAACGAGAAAAATATCGTCGGTGACGATGTTTACCCCGTCCCGTGCCGTGCGCGCCACGTCCCGTCCGTGGATTCGCTGCGTATCCACAGTCGATCCATCAACTCTTCAAACGAAAATCCATCTTTCACAACACTATCACGTTAGTTTCGAGTCACTGTCACGTTGCGTATGTATTAAACTCCCGTCCATGTGGAGATACAACCACGTTCCGTTTCCGTCCCGTGCACGTGCTGATTACGTCCTGTATGCAGCGACCTTAACACTACTTCAAAGGGAGCATTCAGGTGTCGGTAATTGAGATTACTTATCAAAACACCAATGCCATCGTCTCCTTAATCTTCGTCTGAATGTAGGAATGGCACTGGTGGTTCTACTTTTATCCGTAACGGTTTGAAATCTTCAGTATTCTACAAAATTGACAATGCCCCGTGTATATTACAACTGAAATAAATTAAAACACTTCTAAATGTTATCACAGTGAGGCATAATTCATTTTGTGTCTGATTGCAAACCTTTTATTACAACTTTCTAATATTTTTTTTACTCACAAAAGTTACAATACAAAGCTATATATTATATAATAATAAAACAATTATAGTCTATTCGCTTAGATACGGTCGAATTTGTGCCGCGCCGCTTCGAAACGTGCCGCATCTTGTCAAAGACGCTGCCGCGACTGCAAAGGTCGCCGAGTACGGCGTACACCCGCAGGAAAATTTGACATTTTAAAACAAAACGCCGTAGTGAAAGGTTTTTTTGTTGACTCTGCTAGGTATACAGAAAATGTTTTTCGTCCTTGGGTGGAAAGGGAGTGAAATTGATCATAAGATGAAATTTTGAGTGTACCAATAACAAAATAGTATTTATTATAAATACAGATGGGGAATAGTGTCTATTTTACTTACGTTTATGTTTACCCACCTACTCATATTTTTCATTTAAATTCTCTTTGCTACTTAACTTGTGTTTATTATTTAAATTCGTATTTTATTACAATACCCATGAGATAAAATAGTTTTCTATTTTATTATTAGAATAGAAAAACATTTATTTAATTAACACAGTAAAAATTACTAAAATAAAACCAAAATATTAAGTACCTCCTTCGAGTGTACCAACACTATCTTAGTGAACAGACTATATAAAGACACGGCAAGCGACTACGGGTCCCGTACGGTACCAGTAAATTTAACATTCAATATTTATAACATTTTTAAGTACTCGACTAATGTAACTAAATTTATAAAATTCACTATCAACTAACCTACGTGTATTATGGCACGGCCCCAGGAGGAACGAATTACAGTCGGAACCAACATTAAAAAAAAACAAAAATATATGCTGGTTTTCGAGTTTTAGGGTAGGTTTAGGGTTACCAACACAGCAAGGAACCCTTCTAATTTCGCCATGTCCGTCCGTCAATAAAAATCTCTAATTTGGCATAGTTATAGATATTAATCACGCCTAGAAAATTGTGAAATAAAATCTTAAAAAACATTTTTATTTTGGGTACTTCCCATAGAAGTAAATGGAGGATGATTTTTTTTTCACCCGTTTATTACATCATGTGGGGTATCGTTGGATAGTTCTTTCAAAACACTGGAGGTATGGAACAACATCGTTTCGATTCAGGGATCCGTTTACGAAATATTTTGCTTAAAAGTGGTATTTTTCATTGGAGTCATGTGTCTCTAATGAAAAAGCCCCTCTAATAACTAAACCGCTGTATATGGAAATGTGAAAAGTATACACAATAGCAGTATGTATTAAAAGGAAAAATATCACAGCTAAGTAAACTTAAGAGTAATAGTCGACCATGTTATAAAATACACGTGGTTTAGTAAAAATGTCGTTACAACTCCAGAGAAAATGACCTAAAACTAGCTGCATTATAACAATGTAATGTTATTGTAAACTGTTAAAAAAAATTTTATGAAGAAAACGACTTAAATGCCTTAACTTTCCTTTTCATTTGCGAGATTAATAGGGTATTATTTTCAAAATGGAAAAGTTCTTTTCAATCTTTTTTGAAAACCACTGCCTATAAGTTTGTTTTGAAAATCAGTCTTTCAGTTACAATCTTTCTATTTGGGCTCATTTTTAGTCGTTATAGCAGTCAAACCGCGAACTTACTTATTATGCTCATTATTAAGAATGCCCACGTATTGTGACGGGAAACTACGGAACCCTACGCTGGTTCTGTTCCCGTGAGGAATTGCCAGACCTGCCATCGGTTGACATGAGAATCTGATGAGTGAGATCGATTTTCTGTGGCTTTGGGCTTGTAAAGATGCGAATTAGCGAAACTTGAGATGTGACATGTGTGGTTTACTGCAAAGTGCATCCGCGTTCTGCCCACGCTAGATCGCAGATTTTATAGACATATTAATAATAATATTATCTAAAGACTGTCTAAAACTGGTTTAATTAGATTTCTCCTGAAAGAGCAATAATTAACTAAGATCACTATTCAGTTAAAAATAAATTAAGTTGTACCTGCAATTCCTTGTTCATAAGCCTGTCTCTAGATATTTATTTTCATTACATTAATACGCACACCTGAATGATGACGATCATTATTGTTAAACATTAATTTTTGTAATTTTTAACATTTAATTTTACTAATTTATTAAACTAATTTATAAGCATAAAATTAAATATAACCCAAAGGTTACACACAATATTAAAAAAAAAAAACTATAGTAGAGAAAAACTAAATCTAAAAATTTAATAAAACTAGTTTTACGGATTCTAGCGCGTTTAATTAACTTATTTTTATTAATTACCGACGTAGTGGTGTTTAAAGCTACGATGACAGTGTTTTATTCAATGTGTAGTGTTCGCGTAAATATAAGAAATCATTAACTAAAAATTTTAATTATCGTACAGTCCTACTCCTCGTGGTATCGTGCTAAGAATGCTGACTGGGTTTCCTCGCTGAATGGCTATACTTAACCTTTATACGAGAAAAGAACCAGATCTCTTATTACCACTAGCAGATACAGTTCCTTTAGGAAATTCACGCACGTAGACCCTACGGCCCAAGAGTGTCTATAGCAAATGACGCAAATTTGTAGTCATGTCTCAAGAGACGCATATTTGAGTCATCTACTTAATTCAGCTGGCTCTGATGCCGCTCCGGCTCAAAACGAGGTACCTCTAAGATGAGAGGCCGCCAAAGTATCTACGCAAGTAGCATTCCACACTAGGGCCTTACCTATCTTCCAAGGGACCAAAATCATACTGTCGGGTCTCCATCGATGGCAAGCCATCGTTTCTAAATATTCCACGAGGCTCCTAAACCGAGGGAACATTTATAGAGACAAGGGCTCTGCCGATGTCATTGTTCAAAGAACCGTGACAGGAAAACCTATTTTTTCTATAGCTATTTAAAGATTATTATTAATGTCTTTTAAATTATCCGTACATTTCCAGACTGGAATCGAGCGTAGTAAGTATGTAAATCTAGATACGAGAAGACAATATTTTAAAATAGTAAGAGCAATGTCGGGGTTTAAGATATACAACTTATCAACGTGGTTTAAAAACTGAACTAATTTTGTTTTTAAAACAGGTTTAATACTATCGAAAAACAACGGGGCACTTAGCATGAAAGCGATTCCGCACAGACTGTTTTATTCCTGGAGCAATATCATTGAAATTTTGAATTGAAGAATCTAGTTAGAACTAGATAAATTATTGGAAAAAAATATTTCACATTTATTGCTATTTGGTTCA